AAAAAAAAAAAAAATAAATAAAAAAAAAAAAAAAAAAAAAGCTCTAGCCTATGAGACACCAATGAAGTTCCTCTATAAATCTTAAATCAGTCTTTTAATTTAGTTAGAAAAAAGAGCTGGTTTAAAAATGGGTATGTTTTTGGCTCCTTTTCTGTTTTCCAAGAAGATAGAGGTTATATATGTGAAATGCTTTGAGCTCCATATAAGAAAGGGCTACTTAATTTTAAAGTATTTTTAGTTTTTTGTTTGTTTTTTAATTATAGTAGTACTTGGGGTTGGGGAACTAAGCAGGATTGTAGTGTGATTTAGATATGTAATATTAGTTGCCAGAACTCTGTGGACAAAAATGATACAATCCTTAGCATATTCCATTCCAGCAGTATTATGCCCCTAACGTCGGCATTAGTGATTGAATTGTTGATACTACCTGCCATTTATGACGCGGCCTGGCAGTTGCTGAGAGTTTTTTTCTAATATTAGGTGTATGGCTTGAACAAGACTTAAGATGTTTGCTTCCTGGTTTTACTGAAACCTGCTAAGGGAGAGATTAGCTTGCGTTTAATTGGATGTAGATGTCTTGTGTCTGAGCTGGGTTGGGGCCAACTGTGTGTGTGTGTTTTTGGTGTTTCTTTTTCCCAGATGACTTAATGTTTTTTCACTCGCCTCCCACCACCTGCTTCGATATGCATACCTTCCCAATACGTCCCCTACCCCATCCCTTAATTTCTTCGGTACGGGAAGCGGGAGTTTCAGACAGGGTGGATTGATGTACAGCTGATCTAATGTGCAAACCTAAATCTATGCACGGTTATGAGGGAGTGCAGTTGATTAGTCTGAGAAAAGAAGGGCGAGGCATATAGGCTTGGGGAGCATCTTTTTACTGTCTGGTGTCTCCCGGTGCCTACGGCTCTGGAAGTCTGAGGCACTCTGGGAGGTACCGCCTGGATGGGGGTCTCTCCTAGTACCCAGGCAGCGGGTGGGCTGGGGAGCGGGAGAAGGGGCGCGGCACCAATTGGCCCATCTATGGGATACTAGGCTCCCGGCTTTGAGGTGGGGGCCCAGGGAGATGGGGGCAGCTCTAACAAAGAGGAGCCGCGCTGGGGCCGGGGCCGCGGGTAGTTGGCCTATCCCCGGCAGCTGACCTCCCAATGGGCCTCCCCAGTTGGCTGCTTGGCTAGTCGCTCTGCTGGCTCCCTGGCTCGCCATTGGCTGTGAGGACGGGAGGGGGCTCACGGAGGGCCGGGAGGGAGTTGAGGGGGCGGGGCTGGCTTCCGGCGGTGAAGCGGAGCTAGCGACGGCAGGCTGGGGG